GAACTTTGAGGATCTTTATAGTGTAAGTGTTAAAGAGTTTCACACACAGTTGTCAAACAGAATCAAGAGAGTTACTGTGTTAAACAATATCACGGGATTATGGTACATTAAACCTATAATCTTAAAAAGTTGAAAATTTAATAATAAAAAGATGAGTACTTAACCTATTATTTCCTTTCATGAATTTTTATGTAAGAAACCAGACTAGTCAGGGGATTACTTCATAAGTTATATAAAAGTCTAACCACTATGCTGTACACCTGAAACTAATATAAAATCATATTGAATGTCAAAAAAAAATTGTAAAGAAAAAAAGAATCCTGAAAACGTATGAGACTATTTTTCACACTTTATAGTCACAAAGTATTCACAGATTATCCAGGTTCGTGATTTTTTACCTCATCACCACCATGTGCTAATCTTTTATATTTGCTTGACCAGATCAAATTTTCTATCAATTAGTCCCTGATAGGATCCTTGGTGCGTACGATTGAAGAAAATATTCTTGTACCTTCCCCTCTTCTTTCTATGTTGTTTCTTAAGAAAATCACTAATTTACAAGGTTTTAATTATGAAAGCAAGGTAGGGTCTTGTATAACGCAAATACTCAAATAATTTTCAAGAGAATTCATAAAGGCTAACTATGGTAAATATTATGGTTGCCTCCCCAACACTTCTCCATCATAGTCTCATTAATTAGCAGTAGCATGATTTGGAAGTTGAGCTCCAGTAAAGGGGTCCTAGTTGCCAAGAGATGGGAGTACCCTCGGTTCAAAAATGGGCAAATAATCCAAGTCCAGCCAGTGAGAAGAGAGGGGTTTTGCTAATGGCTTCTCAGAAAGTTCCTCTACCCACTTAAGAGCGATGAGAAGTCAGTCTCTCTTTCAGTGTATATGAACAAGGAAGCATGAAACCTGTCAGCCAGCTTGCAACCACGGGAATAACTAACCTTAGGATCAGGCCACCACTGTGGGTGGCCCAACTGCCTTAGATGAACGACAGAGGTCTTTGATCACATTACTGAACTGATGGATGAATCCACGTTCTTGACTTCCTCTCAGGTGAGGAAATAAAATAAACTTTATATTCAAGTCAATTCGAGCATGCAAACAAATATTCATGGATGCCATTACTTTCTCCTGTGTACACCCAAACCCAAGTACCTTTAGATCCTTCTGCTCCTATGTCAATCCTGCAGTATAACCAAAACAGACCTCATCTCCTTTCTTCACAATATCAGTCTCTAAACTACCCTGGCTTGAGGCCCACAGTTATTCTTCCACTTATCTTTAGGTCCTGTCATGTGTTTGAGTTGTGATATCCCGTCCATCTTCTTATTCCATTTTGCAGTCTCACCACCCTAGGTCAGATCTTCATCCGTTCATGGATACATTATCACACGTAACATATCTAGACTCCTTCTCATTCCTCTGCAAAACAGGCCAACTGTATGGTTTTGATGGGCAGACACAGTAAAAGGGGAATCTCTGGGGGTCTGATCCCAGCTGAAAAGAATCTGCATGCTCTCTCTGCTAAGATTGTATCTGCTCTTAAAGATGAAGTTCAAACATCAACTCTACTGTGAAGTCGCTTCTACTCCCTTAGTGTATAAATGATGCCTGGATTCTCACACTGTATTTCTCTCATAGCCCTGTCTCATCTACCTCATACTAAAATCCTTTGGGTAGGTGCCTCTCTCCTCCATGGGACAATAAGGATTGTTTTGCATTCATCAAATATACTTCCAGTGCCTACATGTTTTATGATAAGAATTTTGAAGTTAGTTTTTTCCTGTCCTGGGAAAAAGGATTTTAAACACAAATTAGGGTTTTTTAAAATGCCATTTTTATAGGTATGAACTGGGACTTGCGTTAGCATGCCTTTTAATCTCTGTTTCCAGACTATAAGGATGGATGTTAAATAAAGTGCTAAACAAGTAAAATCCCAACACTGACATTACTATTAGACATGTGTCTCAACTTTAATAATCACAAAGTAGTTATTATTCCATGTTTATTCAATAGAATCCAGATAGGTTTTATTTATTGATTTTGCTAGTTCTCACCCCATGATATAAATGAAAGTTTCTAATAGAATTTCAAGATTAAATCCTTGAACAAATTTAATTTTCATGCTACTTTCCTTCCTGAATTTAGTACTGCTGGAGTTCCAGGTTTTAATGTCTATAAAGGGTAAAATTATCTTCTCCCTTTCTCTACAGTCATGCCTACCCCTAAAAGAAAAACATGCACTTTCTAAAAACATTGAAGGCATCATCCCTTCTCCCTATTCTGCTCATGGCCCCTCCTCTGTTCCTGCCCAATGCAGGAACAGTGACACATACTATCCTCTTTGGCACAGACTAAATGGTAGAATTTGCCACTCACACATGGCCTGGCCCCTCATTTCTTCTTTGATCTTGTCTTTCGAAGCTGCTTGTGCACAGACCCCGTGCCATCGTCTCTCCACCACACAGCCCACAAACATGGAGGACAGACAAAGAGCTCTTCTCTTTGCTACTCACTTGTTAAACTCAATTCAAGCGGGAGGTAGTAGGAAGTTCCCCAACAGAAATGAAGCTGATATTTTTGGTACTTGCCTCTTGTAATGATTCCCAGTTGACCCAGCACTCTAAGGAAGGAGGGGTAAGACTGATCCTACACACGTGTGTGTGCGTACACACACACACACACACACACACACACACACACACACACACACTGATCTACCCACTCCTCATTACCTTCCCTGCTCTTATTCTATTGAAGAGAACATCATTTCCATGGACAATTTCAAAAGACTCCAAACTTGTCTCCCTGCTTTCACCTTTGTCCTTCTGCAATCTATTGTAGTGGTCTGTAGCCCTATTAAAACATAAGTCAGTTCATTTCACTCCTCAGTTCAACCGTCCAATGTCCCCTGTCCCATTGAGAGTAAGAGCCAAGTCCTGGAAGGGCCTGCTGACCTGTGCCTCCCTCACCCTCCCACATCCCCTGCCACCCTCTCTCACTCATTCCATTCCAACCACATGATTGCTCCTGGAACACACCAAATATTCTCCTCCCTTAACACTTAAGCACTGGCTGTTCCCTACATCTGGAATGCTTCCCCCTGAAATGTCTGGAAGGTTTACTCCCTCATTCTTTCAGGCTTTGCCTCAAATATTAGAGAGGCTGCCTCTGAAAACCCATATATAAAAGCATGGCCAACTTCTATTTCCAGCACTCATGTGTCCTCCTTCCCCTGATCCTTTGTTCTTCAATGTCATTATCACAATATGCATGTCACATTTTCTTTATTGGTGTCTCCCGTAACTAGACATCTAAGCCCAATCAGAGCCAAGACTTTGTATTTGCTGCTGTATCTACAGTCCCTAAAACTGTGCCTAGCTCATAAAATTTGAATAAAAAACGTTGAGTGACCAAATGTTCCCTTGTTCCTAGATGAAGTAATGAGGACTCACGGGCTTACACAAAGGTTCTGTAGAAGCAGCGTCTTAGGAGAGAATCTCTGAGAGTTGTTCTAACAATAAGTACTAACAAAAACATCACCATTAAGCAAAAATGATGTGAGAAACAAGAGAAAAATGTCATAAGAATATACTAAGAAGAAAAATCAACAGGATAAGATGAAAAGACAAAAAGACAGACAGAAAAGAGTAATAAGAAAAGATGTTGGATTAGAAAACTAAAATCATGTAATAAAGCTTGCACTCAAGGCGGGAACAAACACAGTCAACAAGGCAAAAGCTGACATAGTGGTTAAGGGGTTCAGCTACAGCATGTTGAGGGCTACTGCATGTCAGGCAGAGACAAGGCAACAGAAATGCATGTTGGTGAATAGGCAATGAGATGGACAAGCCTATGTCCACCTGTTTTGAGAGCCTAAGCTAGTAGAGACCTTTTGGAAACCACTTTGGCAATCTGTATCATGACAGCCTTAAAATGCATCATCTCTGAGCCAATAATCTCATGTCAATAATACAAAGAAATAGATATGAACATAGAGAGCCCACCATAGAATTTATATTAGAAATGTTTATACATATATAACTATGCTATATATATTAAAATGTTAAATATTAGAAACAATTGAGACCTAAACAGTAGAATAATTATCAACTAAATATTAATAGCACCAAACAATGTAGTACTATGCAACCATTAATAAAGATAAATAGAAATGATTTTAAGAACATGGAAAAATTCACAACCTAATGGTAACTAAGAACACAGGATAAATACACACAGAATGAGTTCAAACATGGAGCTCTTTTCTTTGGAGTTTGGAATTGAGAATTATATTCTTTATGCTTTAGTGCATTTGCTAATTTTCATCAATGAACACATATATTACCCTAATAATTGGAAATAAATACTAAACAAAAATAAAAATTGGACTTAAGTTTTTAATTTTCTCCTACATTTTTAGAGCCTCATATATATTTCTAACCTATTTCAATACAGTTCTCATATCCTAGAACTATCCACTCCACTTTCATTATAATATAAAGGACTCAATCAAGTTTGTATTCTTGCATTACCACTCCAGATTTCTAAAATATTAGAGATATCAATATTTTGTTTTTCTGTATATATTTTCTAAACTCACTGTTATATTCTCCTTTTGTCATTGAGGAAGCAAAAGAATAAAGATTTATGTAAATGGTGCAACAATTCACCATTCACTACAGCTCTTACCATGAAAACACACTGCATTCAAAAACAACATTCCATCAAAAATAAAGTTCTTGTTAAAATTTTTCAGTAAAAACAATATCAAGATTGTGGTGACAGTTTCACAGGTGTACATGTATGTCAAAACTTGTCATATTGTACAGTTTAAATATGTGCAGTTTATTATATGTCAACTTATACCCCAGTAAAGATGCTAAATAAATTATGGTATCAAGAAAAGCCACATACTGAAATATGACGAAAATGCTTGGAAAGTAGACATACACAAACACACTCACACAGAAGAAAAAGAAGAACCAGTCCTTAAATTCATCAGCAAGTTTATTTACAAATGCAGTAAAACAGAAAGGCTCACTAGTTTCTGGAGATAACTTTTGGTATACAAAGTACGATTAATGAAAAGCAGCAGTTTTCCATTGGGAACTGCATAGCAACAATTGCGGTGAAGAAAAGAGAGCTCCCCTCATCAAGCAAATAAAATGTTACATAGGATAACTCTTTAAAAAATCATTAATATATAGTTGAAAAGAAAGATATAGAAAGCAAATTTGGGGGTGGATTTTAGTGAAATTTTCCATATGGTTCTGTATTAATTTAGCATACTTTACAATAAAAAGAGCAAATGCAATTACATGTTTATATTAACTGTTTCAAATAATGTTTCAGAACCTTTTTTTAAAAAAAAAAACAACAACAATAAAATAGCCCTCTTGAAAACACCACAAGAAAGTCAAGCTAGGTCATTATCAGCCTCAAAAATATTTTGAAGTTCTTTCTTCCTTGTGCTTTTAAGATCCTGAACTCAGAAAGTAAATACTGCACTTTTCCCCACACTTAATTACCTTCTTATAAATAAACAACAAAAATACAGTTCTATTTTACCAAGACTATAGTGCTCTGATATAATCTAAAGAGGCCAAAAAAAAAAAAAACAAGTGTTATTCTTTAAAAAAAAAAAAAGAAAGAAAGAAAGAAACGAAAGCAAAAAAGACATACAACATATATTTATAGATCTACAGCAGCGGCAACCACCTCTTCTTCTATCTGCAACAGTGCTTTCGTATGGAGGCTTACATCACATGGCGGTTGGCCGTCCAGCTGATCAGGCAAGGAGAGAAGAAAGAAAAGTGCTTAGATTCAGAAACACTGGAACTTTGCCACCTGGGATGCATAGCAGTAATCACTCAGAGAATGGCCCCATGAGGTAGAAAGAGTCACCTGGTCACCCACTTAGGATAAAGCGAGGCAAATCACAGCCTCTGGGTGCTAGAATTCTTTGTCTGTAAAAATAGAGTGAAAATTAACTGCTGATATAGAAGTTGCACTCAACTCTCCTTTATTCGAATGGGAGGAGAGAAAAGGCATGGGCAATTTTTCCGTGACGATTCCAAACATCAATTACATTTGGCTTTGGAATTTGATTAAAGAGAGGAAAGCACACACACATATACACACTCCCCCGGGGACATGCCCAGCCTTGACACTCTCCAGCCTCCGTGGTGGCATCCAGCAAAGGACTGGACTGCTGGGGTTGGAAGGTTCAGACCCCAGTGACAGATAAAAGAGAGTTGACTGGGCTTAAACCATTTCCAAAGCACTCTTCACATAAAGGGCCATATAAATACCTCTGAGTTCAAAAGCAAATGGTTTTGCTGATACCACTTGTAACACCCTTTCACAATAAGGAAGAAGCACATGTTACCAGCATCAAGATTCAACAAACAAACAGCAGTAATGGTTGTCTTTACATAGCTATAAACAATATGTAACCTCATTATGCTAGCCTATGTTTCATAACACACTGACAAACAATGCTTAGACACAAAATAGCACGTGAAGTTTTCGAAAAATTCAGTTTTTCCAAAAATTACACTGAAACATCATATAAGCAGAGTTAGTGCTCTCCTTTGTAAAGTAGTGTGTGTGTGTATATATATATATATATATATATATATATATATATATATGACAGAGTAACAAAGCATAAACTGACTACTCTTTATGACCTTTTAAACTCATTTTTAAAGTCGATCATCTTCTAAATCACATAATCAAAGTCCACTGTTAAATGACAGAAATCAATGAATATGAGGAACCAATTCTTAGCCCAGATAGATCACAGTCTACAGCAAAGTTTCATTTTCGTTGCCTGTTTTGGTTTGTTTGTATCCTCAAATCATCAGCAGGTTCCCAGACTCTGGGCAGAATGCACAGGAAACCACCCTGGCTCTTGGGCACACGGCCCTCTCCAATCCCTTGGCCCCACAACCCACCTTTGTACGGCTGGGATCCTGAGCGCTGAACCCCTAGCGATACACCCTTTCTGAAGGGGACACACTCGGATTCCTAAAGCCTGGAGTTCTAAGGCAGGGAGCTTGAGGGGGAGGCGGTTGCAGATTCAGGGAAAAGCAGGGGGACCCGTGTTCTCAATAAAAGAGAAGAAATTGTCTCCCTGATTTGCTCTCTTACATTTGAATCTGAGATAGCAGTCGTTGCAGAACAGTTGGTTGTTTCTGATTCTGACTTCGGCTCCTGAGGAAGAGCCTCCGAGGTTACACTCACAGGCAACGCACTGCGGGACAAAAAAAAAAAAAAATGCAGCTTCTAAGCTCTTAGATATGTTTCAGCAAAAAAAAAAAAAAAAGCCAAAAGATAATTAGTAGATTAAAATCAAGCCTGCCAGTAGAGAACGCATAAAGCCAATTTTAAGAGCCAAGATAATTATTCTAAATATACCAAAAGAGTAGAAATGATTCGCTGACTGGCTTAGAGAAATTTAGTCTTCATTTCTCTCAAGGGAATGAGAAGATAATGCACCAAATGAAAGATCTGGCAAGGTGGGTGAAGGCTGGGCTTCTGGCACTTTAATCTGGGCAGGCCACACTGGTGCACCCCTGCACTAGCTTGGGATGGGTGCACACATGGTGCTTTCATTCAAGGCTGGGAAATTTGGTTCCACGTGCTCAAACACTAACAATTTTGACTCATTCTGCAAGCCATGAAACAGCCCGAGCCAGCAATACAAGCTTAAGCAAGCTGCGGTCTGTGGGACTCTAGGATCAACTACTGGAATCTCTCTTTGGCCTAACACAAGTTCAAGAATCAAATAGATGTGTCTCTATAGACAGCTATTACAAAATAAAGTCATTAGAGCCTTCATCCGTTCTTCTGTGCAAGAACCCATGAGATGTAAGCAGGCTGTGCAACTGTAAAAATATTCACAATGCTTTTCCTTTTTCTCCGTGTTCAAAGCTAGGTTTTTGGACACTGCTATTAATATAAGTGCACGTCCCATCCCCATGCTGTTAATGACACTGGTAAGTTACATTTCAAATATGTCTATGGCCACATGTTAGAGAAAGCATTTAGGAACTGTCAATTTTGCTAATAGAATCTTAACAGACTGGAGATAGGAAGTGCATAGTGTTTCCACATTGAATTTCTGAAGCTCAGTTCAAGATTTGAGGACTAAGTATCAGCAGGCAATTTATGAAATTCAAAATGCAGCACAGACGGACAAATATAGCAGCACCTAGCTCGTTGCTGGCATGTCCACGCCTAGCGCTCAAAGAAGCCATGCGCTCTCCAAGCAAAGCTTTGCAGGCCTGCAGAGGCTGTTCATCTTAGTCTCACCTTAAAACAATATAAATGATAACACAGCCCCAGGGACTCGATGATCATGGCGGCTCCTTTGCCCAGAATGTTATTACAGTAGGAGCACACGCGTTTCCCACTGACTGACCTGGATGTAGACGAGAATGGAAGGGAGACTTTCATCTGTGCAGCTCAAGGTTATTATTTTCAAATCACACTCTGGAGTTCACACTAATAATTTCAGAAAGTCTCCGTATAGCTGTAGGAGAAAAACTTTCACCAGCCAATCAAAGTATGCCTTGATTATGTTGTACCGCAAAGGATTTCCATGATGGTTCTGAAACCCTTGGTATCTATTCACCTACAGGAACAATTTCAGTGTATTTAGTCCATTCTGCACTTTAAGACACTATCCTCCTGAGATCACACCTGTACTCGGCAAGTCTCCCCTTTCTCTAATCCAGCCAACATCTTCTTGTCAGTTAAACCTGCACAACTCTAATCATGGCATGTCATCCATCAGAACACTAAAAGAGCAGCCTCAGCTACTTCCAAGAGACGCTGCAACCTACCATCCAACCTTAGTTTCCATTCTCTTTCTCATCCACCCAATACTCAACTTAAACAGAAGCGGCAGTGCTTTCCTGACTGTGCCTCCTGGCTTACAGGACTGCCTCTGTGGAGAATGAAATGCAAACTGCCTGCCAGCTACCATTTAGATAGGTAAGGAGGGTATCTACTTCCCTTTGGATACAAGTCTGATCTTTCCCAGGTGGGAAGGGGACGGCCACTTTTCCCCTTTGCATCCTAGCACAGCACTTCAGTGGCACTTGAGTGCACAGCTGTGGAGTGTCTCTTGTTAGAGCACTACCTCCTAGATCGCCGGTTCTCAACCTGTGGGTCGCAACCCCTTTGGGGGTCGAATGACCCTTTCACAGGGGTCGCCTAAGACCATTGGAAAACAAAAAGATATTTACATTATGATTCATAACAGTAGCAAAATTACAGTTATAGAGTAGCAATGAAAATAATTTTATGGTTGGGGGTGACCACAACATGAGGAACTGTATTAAGGGGTCACGGCATTAGGAAGGTTGAGAACTGCTGTAGATGGAGACATTTTCAGGGCAGAAAAGCTCATGGCTAGTCTCCTATCTGTTCTCCTAGGGGTGGGCACTCAGTGAAGAAATAAGTACTCCCTCCTCTGCCTTGCCTTCCTCCTCCATGGCATTCAACTTCCGCCCCAATTTACCATAAACCCTCACCCCTTCTTCTCTCTCTCTCTTTTTTTTTTTTTTTTTTAGCTGAGCCATCCTGCCACCTGTTGGCAGCTCAGCGGCTGCTCAGCTCGAGCCAGGACTTGAACCGCTGTTGCTCAGAGCTCACACTCTTGAGCGAGCTCTTAACCAACTGAGCCACTTGGCCGGCCCCACCCCTTCTTCTCTTAATTCAAACTCCCAGCTACATATTTTACAGATCCTGGAACAAGTAACATTTTAGATGGACATGAAATATCTTCTCTTAACAAAATCCCTTGTATGATGGCTAAACAAAAATTCCAATAGCAATAGCTGTGTTTCTACTTTCCAGTATTCATTTGCATGACAAGGAGCATATGCCAGTAGAACTCCCTCTGGTGACAGCAGAAACACTGCTTTATGTGGTTTCATGACGCACCTATGATCTGTGGAGAAGCTACGCATGTCTGGAAACCCAACACCTGCTGATATTTCTGTCCATACCAAAAGGCAAGTTTCGAGTCAAGACCTATCAACTCTTACACAATTCCCGTGGCATATGAACTACAGAATCAGTTGATATAGTCTGAAAAAAAAAATGTTGGCAAACCAGATAAGTGGAGAGCAACAGTTTTAGAAGTCAAAAACCCAAAAAGCATTATCTAACTACTTTACTTTTTTTTATTCAGCTTGTTAAAAGTTACACAGACAATGGAGCTTGGTTATAATGCTTTCCTTTTACACTCAGTTTCTATAAAATAAGTTTGTATTGTCTCATTAAAACAGTCAAGCATTTCACAATGCTGCTTTTACTCATAAATTTCAAATGCATTCAATGAGTATATGTTTATGATTATATTGCAAACTACTCAGGTATGTCTGTATCTTCTCACCACAAGCGAGAGAGGCAGTAGTGATGAAGTAGATGTTTTAAAAGCCTAGAATGGCATCACAAGACATCCATAAATGCTCAGAAGAAAGCTATTAAAACAGCCTTCTTAATTGATCTGATAGAAGAACACTGAATTTGACACATTTAAAAAGGCTTGGCTTTCTTTGGAAAAGTTGGACAAGATTTGGGGAAAATTTTAATGAAAAAAAAATACCCTAGAAACTAAGAACCCCCAAGGGCCTCACCTGTTGCGCAGCTGGGAGCCTGCTGGTGAAGCTGAAGAGAAATGGCTGCGTGGTGTGGGGGAAGGGGCGGTGGTGGTCTTCACAGAGCCAGCTGGAGGAGGGGGCACGCTGGAGGACGGGTTTCGCATGTAGGCACGGTTTGAGGTGGACACCAACTGAGGAGGTGGGCGACTGAAGTCTTGGACAGAAGAAGAAGCATAGACCCCTCCTGTAGACTGATTGAGCCAAGGGGGTTGTCTCCAAGAACTGGATCTGGGGGAATCCAGGTTATCTAGAGATTCACCTCTGAGACATGGAAAGGGTTAATCAAAATTATATAACACATTCAACTAGAAATCTGTTTAATATAACAGTCATTAAAATATCCATTTTTAGGTACGTTACAAGCAGGTAAGAATCTAACAACTCCAACTACATATAAAATTACCTTTAAAACTAAAGTTTCTCGGGCCGGCCGAGTGGCTCAGTTGGTTAAGAGCTCGCTCAAGAGTTTGAGCTCTGAGCAACAGCAGTTTGATGACCAGCCCGAGCTGAGCTGCCGCTGAGCTGCCAACAGGTGGCAGGATGGCTCAGCTAAAACAAACAAACAAACAAACAAAAACTAAAGTTTCTCTTCATCAGAGGTATCAGGGTATTTCATATTCAATGACCCTTCATTTATTTTTATTTTTTTTTACTTGGTGCTTAGGTAAAAGAATAAATACCAAAGTGAAGAGGAAAATACTAAAAAGAAAAATTCTTAAAATAAAACATTAAGACAAAGACGATATATATTTGTCCTTAAATCTTCAACTGTTTAGACATAAAAATCCTCAATTTTCTATAACCCACAACCCCCCCCAAAAAAAACAATGTTTTAAACACATATGTCAGGTATTAGACTAAACAGTGTCACAAAAATATTAAATTTAATCTTCACAACGCTATGTATATACCAGGGTGCCAAAAAAATGGATACAAGTGGACACTTTGGTCAACATTGTTCAAGCAGTAGTTCGCCATAATCAGAAGTGTCTGGACACTGATGGTAACCACTTTGAGCACCTCTTGTAATTGCAGAAGTCAAATGTGACTTGTATTCATCTTTTGTTATCGGTATCTATTGAGTACTACAATTTTAATAGTTTCTTCACACACACACACACACACATACATACACACACAGAGGGTGCCACTGACTAGCTCTTTTTACTATGGAGAAGTTAAGCTATGTGAGATCAAAACTATTTACTATCTGGTCCTTATACAAAACAATTTGCCAACCCCAGCTCTAAGTGATTACAGCTGCCCAAGTGCCCCATCCAACACCATGTCGAGAACTGCTTAGTCAACCCTCAGAATTGGGAGATATAATAAATTGATATTTTAACCCATTAAGTTTTGAGGTGCTGTATTATACAGCAATATGCCTCTTTCAATTCTTGAACAGTTGTATAGCATTCTACCTTATCAGTGTGCCGCTATTTATTTGAGCTTTTTTTTTTTTAAGTTCAACAGCCAAGGAATAACTCAGGACTCTTAGTAGACATTCTGATAATTTTTCTTTTTGCTATTGCCAATAATATTTAAGTGTATATTCTTTGATATATCTTTGCATATGCAACCAAATATATCTAGAAGATTAAGCGCCAGAAACTAAACTTTTCACAGAGTATGAACATAAAAACATTTGCTCAATAAACACTGAAAAACTAACCAACTGGGAACAAGAATTCCTGTTTCCTTATACAACTGTCGATACGAGACTGAATCACTTATTTAACTCTCTACAAATCCCATAAGTGAGATATATCGTTTAGGAGGAGTGTTGATCTTTTATATGTTTATTGACTTTCTTTTTCTATGAATTATCCTCATACCAATTGTCTGTTTCTATAAAGTTGTCAGGATTTACTGATTTGCAAAAGATATTTGTATATTAAGATAATTAGCCCCTTGTCTGTAATGTTTTGCTAATAATTTTCCTCAGTTTCTCAGCTGTGGAAATACTGAATAAAAGTAGCTTCAGTATTTGTCTACCCAAGATAGGTCTTTTAACATGTTCATCCACTCATCTCCAGTCAATTTATATCTATATATTTTTCTGAAAGTTAAAAAAATTAGGCTTTCACACTTTGTGAACACTATTATGATTCCAACCTATCCAGTATCTCATTTTAAACTAACAAAACTGCAGCTTAATTTGTTTTAAATTCAACAGCCAAGGAAGCACTAAGAATGGCAGAAATTACCTTAGTGCCTGATTCACCCTTCAAAGTTCCACACCCAGCTTTGCAACTTATTTGTCATGTGGTTTTAACGTCCACGTGTATTCTCTGCAGTCACAGTTCCTACACATGGAAAAACAGAACGACTACCCCTGCCTCAAAATGTTTCTCCCCGATTAAGCAAGATGATGCAGACAAAGCAACTGGCATGTATCTGACACCTAAGTGCTTCCTGACACGTGCCCAGTGACATTTGCTCTATTTCCCTTTCTTCCACTAAATCTTGGATTAAGGGAAGAAACTATGACATCTCTTCTGCACAAAGTAGCCAGCCAGCATGTCTAGATATTAAATATTTGCCTCACAGAATGGAAGAGGAAATAATTCCTAAAATGTCACACACCTTCTCATAATCCCAGGCAGACAAATGGGCTCTTTATTGACACTGGAACTGCGCTGTCGGATCCAGCTGTTGTCATTGTGAAGCGATGTTCTCTTTATCATTTCTTGAAGGATTTGTTGTCTCTCCAGCTCTGCTTCTGATGGGACTTGTTCCTTCTTGGAGCTCCTCTGTGATGAGTTACTGCTCCCAACTCGGTCTAAATATTTATTGCTTCCTAAATTAAAAACACATCAAACGCTGCAGGATTAGCACATTTAAAAAAAAAAAAAAGATAGTGGACAAATCTCCAAACACAGGGTGGCAAAAAATGTGATATTGCACACATATGCTAACATTATCAATTCTCAGTGAGGCTGCCGCCTGGGAACATACAGTAACAGGCTCTTATTCCTGGAAATTCTAATTCCACAGCCAGAGGCAAACCACAGAGCGCCCTCAGGAAAACTAAGGGGCCTCCTGAAAAAGGAAACAACCAGCACTGATTTCAGCAATATTAAGTTACAAAATGCTCATCGAGAAATCGTTTCTCTTCCACTTTCCCTTCCTTCCTAAATTAAATAAATCAAGCTCATGCTCATCAAATGCTTGCTGTGACAACTCTGCAAGGAAAATGGGAGTTCTATTCTTTCAAAAAACTTATGCACCCCCTGGGGAGAGAGCAAAGACATAGAGCACGCATCTCTACACAACATGACTCGTGTCTTCACGGTGTAAGTCACAGAATAAGTCATGACCAAATTGCAGCCATGAGAGCACATTCAATCACTGAAATGGCTTTGGTGAAACTAAAAAATAGCCAAGTAATCCAAATGATAACTAAGGAATGTTATCAAACCTGTTCCTCTTCTAAGACACTGACAAAGCAGTAAATGGGATATTGAATTTATGAGTGACACAGTCAGTTGAAGGCTTTGCCTCATTGGATTTGCTAATTAATTTCTGATTTGGGTAAAACATCTGTAACTTTGCAGTATTCTCCCCACCTTAATTTGGATTAGGAAGTGTCACCTAAGGATTTATTTTCTTTTGCTTTCCAGATTCATGGCTCTTGTCGTTCTTTCAAAATTCATGATGTCTCTCTGCCTTAGTTCATTTTCCAGTCAGCAATGAACAAGGCCACCAAAGGTTTCTTATTCACATCTACGTCTACATGTGTGCACACACACAGCTTATCGATTTGGTCAGATTTTAAATAAAAACAGTTTCTATTTTACATGTACATTATTCACATAACCAAGCCTTTCAATAAAATATTTGGTTACTTCCACTGCCTGCTTATTCAGTTAGTAACGGGGAGAAGACATACATACAAGAATAACAGGATTAATAGCACAAGCCACAACCATTAACAACATTATGTCAGAGAATCACACTTGTCACTACTAACAGGTCCTGTATTTAAGTTCAGGAGAGAATATTATCACTGCAGATTAAAAATGTTTCATGGCAGATTAAAGTACTTAAACCTTAATTTTAATGGCCGTTAGGGGCAAATTCAGGGGAGAAGAAATACAAACAGGTAAGACCAGAGGAACCAGGTCGGAAAGCATCGGATAAGTTAGGATCAAAGAGAGAGAACAATTTGGTTATAGTTAAGGGATCCTAATGGGACAAACAGCAAAAGAAGCTGGAAAGTTAAAGCAGGACCAGATAACGGAGGGTCCTATATGTTAAGAGAAAGGGGTGGCCATGGAACTAACAAACTGTAAATTCTACAAGCCTTGGCTAGAAGAGACAAACTGGCTGCCCACCAGACCATTCAGGCCTGCAGATGTGTTGTTTGGCTCACAGAGGGTTTTAATTTTTTTTTTTTTTAATTTCTTGTCAGCACTTAAAAGATAACATAAAAATTCAGGGGTTTTTTTGTTTTGTTTTGTTTTGTTTTTTACTTCTTTTTTACAGCAGAAATGCAAATCACAGATTTGCATTCTCCCACCTGGCAGTACGACCGGTTAAGGCTGTGCACTTAGAGGGCTGTCCACCAAGTTCACCTCAGTCCCCAGATGGGCCTGCATTCATTTATGTAACTGGCCAAACCCTGCTCACCCAAAGCCTGGTATGCAAACCCTGCTTAAAATGATGCATTTTACTTAGTTTTATTTTTCTTAGTTATATAACTTCAATTACACATGTTTCTAGAAATGTACTTTATACTAGCAAATTGTTTTTGCCAGGATAGTGAAATCATTATCATTTTGGACTTTTTGCTATCCTGTCATTTCGATGTACTATTTCAAGTGTATATACAATTTTTAAGTGCCTTGTTATTCTGTCGAAATCTTTTCTGTCCCATTTCTTTGGCTGCAAGATGATATCTACGATACAAAACTGTATCAGCATCACTTTGCAAATTTTCCACATGTTTCATTAGCTATTTAAAACCATTTTAATCTCCCAGTACTCCCTCCATTATAAAGCCAAAGTAAGCACAAGATAGTTTTGTTTTGATACACAAATGCTAAAAATACTTTGTGTTTTAATTATGTAATCTTAATGAACCTGAAAAATATCTTGACCTTAAAAATACTGATCATAGTGTGTGATAGCATAAATTGTGCTAAAGAATTTTGAAAAAAATTCACATTTACCATTTTTATTTGTAGGGTAGTCATCCAGCTCAGTAGTAGATCTGGATTTATTCCTAAAACACAGAACACAATATATTATATATAGCTTATTAAGAACATCCTTTTCATATTTATGAAGTAAGAACACCAAAATGATTGCTTTTTAAAGAAGTTGATTTATTTTCTATGTCTGTTGAGAGCTATATTTATTTTCATACCAAGGAATTTTTCATGTTGCATAAACTAGCAGAAAACAGTGACATCTATAGAAGACAGAAGAGCTTGATGTTAGAAATATATAAACATGTGAAAATCATCTCCATCTCGTATGATGATTAAGCCTATGATCTGACCAATTTGTATACTTTGACTCTTTCTAGATCTCACCCTTCCTGGACTGTACAAAACATCTGTCATCACATCACCTAACATCAGACTGCCCCACTTCCTTCATTATGCCTAAGGGTCAAGAAATCAACTTTTGGGGCATTCGGGTACCACCCTAAAACAGCAACTTACCGAATGTTATCCTAGCATTCCAAAGAGGTACAGGACCTTACTGGTACCTTCTGAAAATTCCTGACTTTGCAATGGTAAAATTTAGGTCTGTATAGCAACACATGCTGATCTCATTCTCACTCTACTCAGTACAATAATTCCAAAAAAAGGTAATAAAGTAAATAATATATATTATCACACATATGTATACATGTATCACATATGTATAGAGGGTGCCAAAAAAATGCATATACATTTTAAGATAAAATCTCTTAAAAATTTTTTGGCACCCCTGGCATATGCATACAACATATATGTATGTATACACTACAGCATGTAATAATGTATAATGCATAATAACATATCACAACTGTTAGCAACAGTCATGAATGGTTTCATTTGCATTAACATAGAAGACAATACTTTTATTACAAGGTGTCTAGCCACTCTCTAGAGCATACTGTATTACAACTGCCGAGAAGCTTTTCATATTTTCCAGGATTCCTTAAGTTTCCTTTCTCTGCAATCTATGTTCTCAAGGTAATGAGCAATATGAATAAAGCTTATTTAAATATATAAACAAATCCATAGCTTTAAAAAAGAGACATACATTTTAATAAACTACAGTTATCCAGAAACATTCATTATGAATAAGGTTATCCAGCACTACTGGCATCTTTCTCTAGCTAAATGTCAGCCCATTACTACCTGTATATCCCTTTTCTTTTCCCTGTCTATTCTAAGCCATATTCAGCCACCCTGAGTACAGGTGAGCCTAAACTGGTGAGTCTTTCCTTATTTCGAAGGCAAACTTCCTAAGGAAAGAATTTCAGCTCTGAAAACACAAATTAATGGTCAAACATTGGATATTTTTAGACAGAGTCTGTTCAGAAGTCCTTAGTGATTTCAAAAGTGCAAAGCATTTTAAAAGTTACTTAAAAACATGAAATTTAAGGTTTTAGGAAATTTTAAAATGTATATATAACTTTTCAGATTTCTGAAATCCTATCTTCATTCCCCCACACTGACCAGCAGTTCTAATGAAACTAAGAGAAAGGTCACAATTCTCATTTCAGATATCCACATGTAGCTTCATTTTGAGTAAGCTTATGCCATTGCTTATAACTTTTTTAAAATAAAGGTTAAGGTAGAATGTAAAAAATGAACACAATTCTTCCCATTCCCCTTGCATGATGGCTCCTCCCACAAAGAGATAGAGTTTTTCTGCTCTCTGTGACCTTGGGCTGGCCTTGTGACTTTCCTTTAGATAACAGAAGGTGGCAGAAGCAATGGTGTGCTGGTTCAGAACTGAGACCGCAGGGTACCTTGTATGCTTCCTCTCTAATTCTCCCCCTTTTCTCTGCCCAGCCACCATGGATGTAAGACTGCACTGGTTTGCTGCATGTTGAAAGACACATGGCCCAGTTGCTCTCATTGCTCCCGCTGACGGTCAGCCAGCCAACAACCAAAAGCAGAGTTGCCTAGTAAGCTGATCGTAGATACATGATGAGTCCAATCAACTGAAAACTGTCAACTGCATTCAGGCCAAAATGCTAACCCGCAAAATCATCAAGGAAGTCACTAAGTTGAGGACTAGTTTTAAAGATCAACCAGCAAGATCTCTTTGCATCCCACAAAAGACCAAGAGCTACAGGACTTCTACAAAACATCTAGGCAATTCTTCAAAAATTCATGTGAAGCCTGTTACTCCAACCAAGTTACAATGAAACGTTCTACACACCTGTCACTGGGAAGCAAACCTGGAGATTCTTCCTCTCTCTTTGGTGCATCATAGGAATCAAAAGGCCTAAAAGAGGGGAAAAGTTTATGGTCAAAATAAAAGACTGTAATGCCTTCCCTGAGTTTAAGATATGCATAACAAATAATGTTATTCTAGCATCTTTATGGGAATGCTCTCTGGGTTAAAAACTAAATATACAGAAGTATTTCAATCAATCACTGCAGGAAACAGACCTACTATTACCAACAGATGTTTGCAGTTCATTCATTCCACAAACACACACTACACGCCTACTATGTTCCAGTGCTGTTTGAGGGCTGGGCTACCAATACAAAACGAGCTTATTAGCCTCATAGTACTTACATTTTAGTGGGGCAGGCAGGCCAACAGACATGCAAATAAATGCATAATAAGGGAAGGGCACATGGAGGAAAGGGGCAGGGAAGAGGCACATATTTTAGATGAGGGATTTTGGAAAGCCCGAGAAGGTGACATTTGAATACAGACTTGAAGAAAATGGGTAAGACAGCAAACATGTGAGGGGAAACGTTTCCAGGCACGGGGACCAGAAAATGCAAATGTCCAGGGGCAGAAATATGTTGGGCATTTTCAAGAAAGGGAAAGGGGGCCAATGTGGCGGTAAGGAACCAAGTGAAGAGAAGTCACAGGAAGCGAGGTAGACCAGAGGGCCAAGACAGCTCATACAAGTCTTCTAAGGCCGTGGCGAGGACTTTAGATGGTCTTCTAATGTGGTGGGGAAGCCATTTGGGGACACTGAGCAGGAAACTATGGTGACAGGATCAGATTTACAACATAAAGGGTTCACTCTGGCTGCTTATGTTGGCTTGTGTGGAGAATGGATGGTAAGGGAGCAGGAAAACCAATTAGGTGCCTTTGAAGTTGGGGATGGCTACAGCTAAGCCAAGGCAAATGAAAAATCACAGGTGCCCTTCGGCCATGGAAACAAACCTTCTATACTGGTATATTTTGACTGACGTTTCCCTCTCTCTCTCTGCCTGGCGCGTCTGCTCCTCTGCCTGGCGCGTCTGCTCCTCTGCCTGGCGCGTCTGCTCCTCTGCCTGGCGCGTCTGTTCCTCTGCCTGGCGCATCTGTTCCTCTGCCTGGCGCGTCTTCTCCTCTGCTCGTCGCTTCTGCTCCACAGCCTCTGCCTGACGCTGCTTCTGCTCCCGCTCTTCCTGATCTTGTTGTTCCTTCAGTTCCCTTTCTTTCTCAAGAGTGAGTTGTTCCAGCAGCTTCTTTCGTTGGTCCTCATTCACACCTTCCTCTTGCTGCAGTCTCCTCGCCTCTTCTCTTTCTTGGGTGCCTACCTTGTCTGAAAACTTGGACCCTGCACCCCAGGTGGCTTCCAAGGTGGCAACAGTGGGTTCCCGCATGGTCAGAGAAATGGTGTTGGAGTTTAGGCCCATCAGTTCCTATATGACCGGGGAGAAAAGAAACGCGTCTAAATCTGTGTATTTCTATAATTTCATAGCTATAACTGTATTCAGTATTAGATGATACTTATTGCAGTTTTCCCAGGATTCTACTTGAAATGATGTTATGTTTTATCACTAACAAAGCCACATGTGGGTGATGATGATGTAACTTAGAAGAGAAAATGCACTTATGGTCTGTTGATAGAATTAATTATATAGGAGAAATGTTGAAACATCAAACCAGAATTCTGACAAATCAGAGCTCATTGTATTTTTCAAAGAGCTACATATGTGTGTGGCAAAAGCCAAGTAAAATGCATGATCTTCCATTTTTCAGTTGATGTTGTTAACAAGATAGAAAAGGAAGAACATGACATGTTCCAACACTACCTCGTTCAAGTACTTGGAATTCTCTCTCTCCGCCTCTTGCTTAGCCCTTTGCCACTCTTCCCTTAGTTTTTCCTGCTCACGTTGATATTTTTCCTATAAGATAACATATTAATTAGTTAATTAATAGGTTAATGTTAATCTTTTTCACTAGATTTTTTGCTAGCCTTACATTTCATCTCAATCTTTAAAGACAATGATATTATTTTAATCAGTCAGAGTTTAGTCCCCAAAATAGAAAACAGTTTATACTGAATTAAAATGTAGGTGTTGGGAAAAGGTAGACACTCAGAATTGAACCCATTACCACAGTTGTTAATTCATTAAAGCTCCTAGAACTAACTGTGTATGAGACTGAATTTCTCTGCAATGGAGTGAGCACAGATGGGGGAATAAGTCCTCACAAAGCCTACATATACTTCTCTCTCATAAGAAAATCCTGTGTTCGTTGCAGCACTTTTCACTGTGGCCACGACATGGAAACAACCTAAGTGTCCCTCAATGGATGACTGGATAAAGGAGATGTGGTACATACATACAGTGGAATACTACTCTGCCATTTGCGACATCATGAATGGATCTTGAGAGTATCATGCTAAATAAAATAAGTCAGATGGTAAAGGACAAGAACCATATGATTTCACTCATATGTGGGATATAAAAGAGAAAGCAACAAGCAAACAAATAAAACAAACTCCTAGCCACACACAGCAGTGTGGTGGTTACCAAAGGGGAAGGGGAATGGGAGGAGAATGAAGAGGGTGAAAGGGGTCAAATATACGGAGACTGAAGGAGACTAGACTTTGAGTGGTGAGCACACAATGCAATATATAGATGATGTATTATAGACGTGTACACTTAAAACTTATAAAGTGTTATTAACCAACATCATGCCAATAAATTTAATTTTAAAAAAGTATATAGGAAAAAAATCTAGACTATAGTGCCTTGTACACTCTAAAAATATACATGGGGGTTAACAAATGATTTTCAAAGGATGACTAAAAAAGCCTCAAAATGAAAATAAAATTGTTCTTGTATTTTCATAATGGTATTTTAATACAATTTTATTTTAATTTTAATACAATTTTTTGCATTTTAATACAAAATGTGCTACCTACTAAAAGATTATTGACTTTTTAATTTTTATGAGATGATTGTCTTTTTAGTTTGCTTCGCAATGCTAGTGGACATTGGCCAGGGAAAAGCACGCCTGCCTCCTGTTGGCCCTTGCTTCCTGCTCTACCTGCAACAGGCGGTCCTGCTCTCTCTGCCATCTCTCCTGCCGCTTTCGCTCCTCCTCCTGATCCCATGCCCAGCGACTCGGCGCACTGATAGTTGGAACTGGAAGCTAACCAATTATAAGAGAAGAGGTACAAACAAAAGCAGATTACTTCATTAAGTTATCTGTCAAAGCACTTTTGCATACGCACATTATTCATATCACCCTCTGCCTAAGCTACACCGAAGGACAGTTGGCTTTATTTTTCAACATAGGTCTTTTCAACGTAGAAAAATTGGATCACCTTATTTATTCCCCAAACAAATGAATACTACTTACATCAGGGACCACCGAATCAGAACTTCCTGTATGGCAGCACGTGGCGAGGAAGGAAAAAAGTACAATATAAGTTTTTTCATTTCTATAAAATAATCCCTTTCAGAAAGTTATATCACTAGCTGTTTCTATGCCAGTATACTAAGTGACAGCAAAGTTTTTTTAAAAAAAAAAATAGGAGTAAATCCTTTTCTTTCCTCTTTAGTTCCATGTGTTTGTTATTCATCTTCCAAATTCAAAGTCATTTAAAAAGAAAAAAAGAAAAAAAGATTAACTATGGACTCCAGGGTACACCCTAGTTCTAGGTATAAGAGCTGAATCATTGGTATATTTCTGAATAGGTTAGAGGGTTCTTTTATTAATAGACTGGGTAGTATCTCATGGTTTGACCTACTTTAAAAAAAAAAAAAAAAAGAATTTCAAATGTAACATTCACCAAATCCAATTTTTTACTTATCACTATTCCATTACAATGTGACAACTATAAATCACATTTCTCAGGTCTTCCTGATACTAAGCTACTTTTCTTAAATAAGCCACAACAATAAACATGTTCAAGAAACATTTCCTTTTTCCTTTCCTATTATTTGAACCACGAATATTCAAACATCATGTGTATGGCATAGTGTTATTCTTTCTCTTTTTCACAGTGTCGTTCTTATGGACATATTGTTATTCTTTTTATTCTTAGGGGGTCTACATAAGTATGTGTGTCTGTATGTAGTACAATGATTATAAACAAGTAAGCAATTTTCATAAAATACACTATCATACACTATTTTTAAATTTTCCTGAAACCTCAGCTGTCAAATAAATTATTCACTTACACAATTATATTTTTAAGAAAACTGCTTTGAGACTTAGGAAAATAGTCTTCCCTAAAATAGCCTGTTGAAGAAAAGTGAGTAAAAATTAGAATAGAGAATAAAAAGGAATTGCTTTATATTAGCCAATTTGAGCTAGGCATATCATACTGCAGCAATTAAATTACTGTAGAAAAATAGGAGTTTAACCAAAAAATATCAAAAACACTAAGGATACTGACACAAATAGACCTTGCACATGCATAGTTGGTAAAACTACTTCTATTTATGGTCAAGAGAGACCTTAATTCATCAAAGGAAGAGATTAACACAAAATACTCAAGTGTAGCAAACATCAGGTTATAAGGCAAGTGTGTAAATGTTTAGTAATCTTAAAAGTAAGAAACAATAACATTTTAGACACCAACGGCACACACCAGTGACTGTGCCATTGCATCTCTGATGTTGAATATTACTTTTAAGTTCTTGATAGCAAAACACAGAGGTCGAACTGCATTCATGAGACAGAGCATTAGGCATACGTGAAAGGGAAGAAATACCACATGCACAGCACATCATAAGGCAGTGCAGCCCAACTACACCAACACAGAAAATCTCAAAATGCACTTGTTCATCGATGTAACCAAAATTTAGTTTTAATTTCCTTCAAAGTCAATGGAGCTGTCCTCCTGACACTCCAAAGCCGCCACCCCAATAGCAATAAACAACTCTGCTTTTTTTTTTTATTAAGAGCATGTACCATAACCAAAAAGTAGAGGTTTTTTTAAAAAAATTAGCCAATTATATGTTGGTGTAATCTATATTACGCAATTTGCAGGAAGCAGTAAGGCTGAAATGAAATTCCTCATTTCTTACTGTCACCCAGTGGAAAGAAGTGTGTGTTTAATAGCATCTCAATTTTTTAATTAAAAAAAAAAAGAGGAAAAAAAAACTTCAGAGGTACAAAGGACACGCAAAGACCCATTACCACAGAGGTAGACCCATGAACTGTAAGAAAAGCCTGATGACCCTAGGGAAAGAATGGAAATGGGTTATGTCGCTTGGTCATGATGACTGCCAAACTGAACAGGCTCAGTGCCCAGCACCACAGACTATCAGGAAAGAGTGGAGAGCAGAAACAATTCCATGAAAGTACATGAATTGTTAGCTGGTGGTTTACCTTGTTCAAAAAATTGTGATCGCCTTTTTAAGTTTTTCAAAGAAATAGGTTCAGATGCTAGTTGAAAAGTACAAAAAAAAAAAAATCAGTACCATGTTATTCATTTTAATTTCTCACCACTGGAAAACTAAATGATACTTGATATATTTAGATATACCTTTCTGATCTGTGGCCATATTATTTTTTAAATGACAAAACTGATAGCCACAGAAGATATGGATTATTTCAATGCACAAAGACATACATATTTTAGTAGCCTACACTATATTCAAATTAGTAACAGGAACTAATATTTTGATTAATAAATTTTAGCAGATAAGCATCCTAGTTTCACAGAAGCCAAAGTACTACCTTCCGTGCTAAATCACACAGTTTTAGGGAAATGGAAATTAAAATTTTTTTGCCTAGGTCAATCAAAAATCTCTTCTAGTACAAGGAAAATTGTAACTATGAGTTTTCACAATATACATGAGTAAAAGAGAAACTGAAAAATAATGGGGGGAGGACAAGAAAATAAATAATACCCAGAGAGAGCGAGAGAGAGAGAGAATAAAAACAAATGCTAAAATTAAAACATTCTTCTAACTAGAATGTTTTGCCCTAGTTTTCAAGATCTTATAGCTACTAATTTTAAGTAAAACAAAAGTTCAGTCAGATAAGAAAGGAAAGAAAACATTCTCACTTCTACGTACAGATCTGTTGCAAGATTATGGCCAATGATTATTATACTTCAGCTTATTCATAAAATATAAGTGCAATTATTACTTGATATAAGTTGTTCACTTATCTAAACAAAATACAGAGCCTGCATATCGTCTCATGGTCACTAATGAGTTAAGTGTCTTATCAGTTTGCTTTGCCTGAATCACTGGCAGAACAGGACCCGGATGTCTTATATTTAACATCATGAAGAATAAGTCATGTGTGCTTTACAAACTCCTTTGATAAAGAATACAATATCGAACAAACTATAGTCGCTTTTAATGATCAGGAATTAAACACAAAGATACACAATCAATAAAGAGAGGGACGTTTAAAAACTTAGTTTGGCTTTAACATAATGTATTATGAACTGGCAAAGGCCGATTCAAAGCCACCACGCTGCCATGAAAATCCAGCCCCATTCCTGGCACTCTAGATTCACAGTAAAAGAAGTTTCATCTTCGTTGGGTCTTTTTCCCTGCCCGTGTGGACCGGATCTCTGTTTATGTTGTATGCCTAAGGAATAGCACACAGCACGTGGTAGCTAAATTATTTACAGACGAATTATTTATGGAGAGCGATAACTCCTCCATAAAGCAAAACTTCCCTAGATACCAAGCCTGCTTTTCCATTACAGATGGGTACTTTTGCTAACAACTGTTACTGCCACTGGCATTTCCCCATTAATGTTAGCTGCCTCCCAGCTTGTCCCTTTCCCAACAATAAAGGAAGAAAGGAAACTTCGTTCATCGTTTTCTATTTAACTAAGATTCCTTTTGGCAGCATACCTTAGCAAGAAGGCTAATGGCCTCCGGAAAACCAGTCTTTCTTATTTGGCTTAGACACACAGGCACTCAAAGCTCCTGGACGTGCTGCCAAAGCTTTGTGTGCAGTTCCTGCACTATTATTCAACACTGGAGCTGAGCGCCCTTCCACCTGGCTGCAATTGGATCCAGGGGCTAACTAACCCTTTAGTTTCAACTTGCAATGGATCAGTTCGTCTTTCACTCACAGATATTAATTTTTGTAATAACAGAACTTGAGTGCTATGACTTTTCTCTTACTTAAAATGTAAGTTATAATGGTGATGTTTACCTTTTAATTCAAAAGTATTGCTTTCATCACGAATTCCATTTATTTCCTTGGATTCGGCCTTCTGCAAAGGATAAAAATGCCAGTTAATAACATGCTCTCCAGTTGGGTTTGAATTATAGAATGCACTTCCCATTAGTGAAAATATCTTTTAGTAAGATGAGTTTTGGGGGATATTCATGTATTCTTTACAGCTTTTTACACACACACATATAACAGAAACTTGTTTCATTGTTCTTTCATCTTTGTGGAGGATTAAGACCAGCTATAAGCATGGATGCATTTAAGTTCAATCAGTCATTAATTTTCTAAGAAGCGTGATGGGCCAAATAATCATTAATCCATTTATTTGGCTTATATTTATGAATAAGCAACATGGTTCTATAGGATTCTCTAACAGTTATACGTGTCTTATGCAATGTAGCAGGATCCCCTTATTAGATAAAAGGGACTATCTTAGGATAACAACAATATATTTCAAGGGAGTCAATATAAACATTTGTTTGAAAACTTAAATTTAAGTAATGCTTTGATACTTAGAAAAATTTCTATGCTATAATTATCTCAAGCAGTTAATGTAACTGAGTATCTCTTAACCACATGTGTAAGTCTACCCATCAAATTCACCTACACAAGGACTAAAAATGTTTCATGAGGTTTTAAATTGCACACAATTACTGTACTTATTTGACCAGTAAAGACTAAAGAAAGCACAGAAAATCAGAGTGTATAATTTTACGTAATTACCACTTCACATTCACAAAGATCTGAGAGATGGGTATAATGATGAAAGATTGGTAAGGAGCACCTGCAAAACGCCAGTATGGGGTCTTTTGATTTTACCATTATATAACTCATTATTACTCTAATTATTAATGAGTAATGCCCATGATTTACAAAATTTTCCTCTCATTACTATAAATTATCTTACTCAATTATGTGTTTTTAAAGTAGCATCAAAATTGTTCAAACAAAATAAAATTCTTCTCCCCCCCACCGAAACACACTTCCTATAGTTGCTTTGCTCTGAATTCCCACTTCTCAAAATACTTACAGAGTTCTGAAGGCTTTCTGAGAAATCAGTCGTTATTGATAGATTTGAAGATCTGTCTGAGTTGTAAATTCCAGAAGTTGCATCAATCCACTTTGTTTCAGGTGAACCTATAATTTTGGTAGCCATACTGGTGAGATTGAGTGTTTTGTGCCGTATAAATGGCAGGGAAGGCTGGTCTTTGCCCCAATCTGATTGGCACATGAAGATCAAGAAATGAGTACACATAAATGTTGAAGTGGAAAGAACAAAGTTTCTGAATGCACATATACAAAATGCACATACACAAGACAGACAAACAAATCAGATAGTGTGTAAAAGAAAAGAAAAGTTTAGGGCTTTTACAAACAGACCGCCTTCTGAAAATACAAGGGTTAGATCGTGTTAATAATGAAAAGACTAGCAAATTTGCTGAATCTTTCTGTAAATCATGACTGAATATATATTTTGATATCATAAATCGGCGGGTATAGAGAGGCTTAATGCCTTTCCCCATCTAACCCCTGTAACTAAGAAACACAATAACGGTGTGTATATTGAAAGTTCCCTGAGAATGAACAACAGGAATATGACTTACCATGCTCTCTCATACACCAGTTACAGTTAAGGCTCTATAGAGAAAGTCCAATCATAGTGTAATTCTTAATATGCAACATTACTATATGACTGTCTAATGCAGATACAATTATAATAGCCTCCAGAAAAAAAAAATGTGAGAGCTGCATTTCAATAAGTGGAAAAGAAAACAACACAATAGTCTTCAGTTGATATATGCAAAGTCAGTCCAGCATATAAATCAGTCAATAAATAATGTAGAATTCAGTAAATTTGCTAGTGAAAACTTTTCAGACAGAATATTCATGGAAGTATCACTCATGATTTGTCTTGACATAACCACAAAGTATCCTTAAGCAAAAAAAAAAAAAAAAGTAAAATGAGAAGAAAAAAAGTGTTATTGAAGCAAGCTGTTATAACCAGTTGCCAAAGACCAGTTCCCAATTTAGAAAGTCAGACACAGTGGTAAAACCAACTCACCAGACTTTCCATACCGCCTGATATCCATTACTAGGTTTCCAGTTTCTTGAGCATTAGCCATGGCTTCTTCCCACTGTTTTGTGTCCTTATATGAAAACTTGGTGTTGTTAATAGCAATAATTTCATCATCTACCTGTAGCTGAGAAAATTCTGCTGAGCTACCTGAATAAAGCAAAATAAACAACCAATGAAAACAATGCACACTTACAGTCATTGCTTATTTGAATTAAAGAAAAAAAACAACTTCTTAATCTCATCTAACCATTTCTCATCATTTTTTAGGTGGAAAAGAGTCACAAACTGTCTTAATGTTATCAAATACTTGAGTAACTACAACGTATAAATCACCAGAGGCATTTTTAATTTATAGGATATATTATTTTCATTACCATTTAAAGGAAAAATGGTAAGTCCATTTGTTCAAAAAAGTGCCTTTATTATCCTCCTAAGAACAAAGAAAATTTTTATTTATTTTTAAATTAAAAATGTAAAATATATTGCCCTTTAATTGAGCTTCCAAATCCAAATACACTCAAACAGAGAAGAAAACAAGGCCATTTAAAACTGCTTAAAATTACTACTTATCATTATCTCACTGAAGCAGTCTTGAAATTTCAGAGAAATAAATAGTTAGCATGCGATTTTATGTAGGTAAAATATGTAAATGAGGAACTTTTAAATACCATAGCTTTTTTCTTTTCTTTTCTTTTCTTTTCTTTTCTTTAATATTAGGCCTTGTAGTAATATTTTGCTAAGAGTTCTAGGCTTGGCTTGGTATAGCCCTGGGTTGCGGAGGGGCAATCCCTTCGCAAAAGTCCCCAAGCATCCAGAGGACTGCAACAGATATATCAGGATGCTCAGGAAATGTCACTTTATTATACATCACGTGTATATCTACCACAAACAGCTTATCAGGGAAAGTTCTTTCTGAATATTCAATTATGTATTGTTTGGTAGAATTTTCAAATATTAAGCCTAAAATTTTGCAAAAACTGAATTCTGTAAAAGTCACAAAATTAAAATTCTTCAAAACTAAAATTAGTTAGGAAAGGAGAACAAACAACATGTAGTCTGTAACCCCAACGATTAGCCTCAGGGAAGAGAATGCAGCTCCTCGCTTTACTGCTGCATTTTCCACACGTGTTTTCTCCTCCTGTATCAAATGAACTAATTTCTGTGTGTGTGTGGCGGGGGGGGCGGAAGAGGAGAATTTGAATAGCATAGGATAACAAAGAAGAAGAAATTTCAGTAGAGCGAAATCTATGATTTACCTGCTTCGACTGATGCTACGAAGATCCCGGAAATATCCCATTTTACTGTAAACCCAAAGTCAAGACTGTTCCCAGGCGTCTGGTTTATGCTGATTCTCATATCACTGAACTGATCCTGAAAACAAACATGAAACGGTGGGATCAGGTGTCCCTGGCACCCACATGGAGGAAAGTCTATCCATGAAAGAAGGGAGGCTGCACGCAAGGTATACTTGAATTATTTCATGATCAACCAGAAGCTTCATTCTTTTTCCTCTGGGTTTGCTAAAACCTTCACTTACACAAATATCACTAAGTTTATTATTTTTCTGCTAAAATAAGGGAAATTCTTATCAATAGATAAGTTTTTCTTCACATTAATACTATAAATCAGGTGATCACTGGTAAAACTTAAGCTTTTGCCCACACCATATAATTAGGACTAATTTACAGATAATTTATTATTATCCAGGAATTAAGTTGAGTGAGAAGCAGAGTGTGTGTGTGTGTGTGTGTGTGTGTGTGTGTGTGTGTAAAATGGAATATTGTTAAGCCATGAGAAAAAGGACATTCTGCCATTTGCAACAACACAGATGGTCCTGACCATATTATGCTGAGAGAGACAGGTCAGGCGGAGAAAGACAAGTACTATATAATATCACTTATATGTGGAATGTAAAAAAGCCAAACTTGTAAAAACAGAGTAAAATGGTGGTTACCACAGGATGGCGGTTGGGAGATAGAACAGATGTTGTTTAAGGGTATGGACTTGCAAAGAGTAGTAAATAAGCCCTAGAGAGCTAATGTACAGTACAGTGAATATAGACAACAATATTGTATTATAATCATCATACTTGTTGGAGACTAAAACTTGATTCCAACTACTCAAAAAAGAATAATTATGTAATGTGATAGAGGTACCAATTATCACTCCAATGGTAAACATATTACAATACATAAATGTATCAAATTAACATGCTGTACACCTTAAATTTACATGGTGTTATATGTTAAATATATTTCAATAAAATGGCATTTTTGAAAATGCAAAAAAAGGTATAAATAACTTATTTATTTTAAAACATACCACTAAAGTGAAATAAGTCAGGCTGAGAAGACAAATACCATATGATCTCACTTATATGTGGAATCTAAAAAACAGAATAAACAAACAAAACAGAAATAGGCTCATAGATACAGAAGAACAAACTGATGGTTACTAGATGGAAGCAGGGTGGAGGGAATGGGTGAGAAAGGTGAAGGGATTAGGAAGTACAAATTGGTAGATACACAATAGTTACGGGGATGTGAAATACAGTATGGAGAATATAGTCAATCATGTTGTAAAAACTATGTATGGTGTCAAATGGGTACTAGACTTGTTGAGAGGATCATTTCATAAATTATATAAATGCCTAACCACTACATTGTATACCTGAAACTAATATGAAATAATATTGAATGTCAACTATAATTAAAAATATACATACATATAATCATGGGACGTAAAGTACAGCATAGGGAATGTAGTCAATGGTATTGGAATAGCTATGTACTGTGTTAGATGGGTAGTAGACTTGTTGAGGTTATCACTTGGGGAGGGGTGTAAATCTCTAGTCATTATATTGTTTTGTATACCTGAAAGTGATATAAATAAATACATACATACATACATATATACATACATACCACCATACTTATGAAAAAACTTCCAACTCTGAACTTACATAGCCAAATAATGTCAAGGGGTTTATAGACACATAATTCAGCTGCCACTACTCATCTAGGACTGGTACCACCCCCTAAAGAGCGTCTGAAATTTGGCAAGGCATTTTTGCTTGTCCCACGGCCACAGGAAGATGTGACGGTAAAGGCAGAGCTGCTACACAAACTGCAGAATGCAAAACTGTGTTATCCCCGAGGAACCACCAGTCAGATGCCAGGACAGCCCCTACTCGGGCACCCTGAGCTGAAGGCCACCACTTCCTTGAAGTAACATCAACCCACAAGCCCAAGATCAAGAACCTCTTAGACAAAAAATAGAAATTTATTTATATCTCCGTCACTCTACTACACTGCAATAAATTCTAAGTTTCACAGACTTTCTTAAGCCATGTTCCAAAACAAATGTTTTAAGTTTTATAGGACACTATTGTCTGTGAAAAACTCAGCTATCATTTATCATTTACACATTTTGTTTTGGGTAAGCAGCAGATATGAATTTTAACATAATGAGTTTCCCAGACTAGTGTTTTAGTTCTTTGATTCATAATCATAAAGAACTTAGACTTGTTTAAAAATATATATTCTTAAAGCCAATTTTCCAGAAGAAAGACCTACAACTCTCCATTTTAATTTAGCAGTTAAATTGAAACCTAGGGTCAACTGGGCAAATCCTAAACCCTTATTCTTAAGTTTTTCCACCTCTAAAACAAATTTAAAATCCAATTGACAATATTCTGAGAAAAAAATTCTAACTCTCTTAAGAATTAGAAAGAAGGCTCTGAATAAAAGATTGAGAACTTACTACATAAATTGGACCCAGAACTTATGTGCTATAACAATATTCACTTAGTCACTTGTTCAACATTTATTGTGCATTTATTCTGTATACGACACAGTGCTTAGAGCTTTGGGAACTAAAGCTGAATTAGACAATGGCCCTTGCTCTCATGAAATAATTACTGACTTTTCAACAGTGGGTATGGAACTTTGTTAAGAAAATAAAAATTGTAGTTAATGATAATAAAAAAGATTTCATCAGAAAGCTTGTAAAGCAGTTTAAATATGGGAACCCAGGTGTAGTTAGTGATGACACTCATTAATAATCAGCCTGAACACCAATCTCCAGAACAAAACTCTTCTATGAATAGAAAAAAATTACTGGTTAGTTCTACTCCTTAACCAAAACCACCATACCCTTAAATTAGAGATGACTCAACGAAAATAAGTGGTCATCTTCACCACTTGTACCTCCCCCCAACCCAACTTCCAACTCAAACCCAATTAAAGTGCAGAATCTATTGCTACATAGGGGCAGAGAGACAAATGACAGGTTAGATATTCAAGACATTAATTGAGGTTTTTTATCGTGAAGAATAAAAGACAGACTACAGATTTAATAAATAGTCTCAAACTACACAAGGAATACTTTGTGGGAGATAGCATGTGAGTATTATCCTTTTCTACCAAATATAGGATAAAAGAGAATGCGATTAAGCCATAGATGGAAGAATCTCATAATTATATTAGACCAGAATTGTCCCACAAAGGGCTGTTCTTACTTTAGAAATAAATCTCTGCTTGAATATAGTAAACAAAAGTGCAGATAACCACCTCTCTGAAATAGTTAACAGAGAACAGACTCCTTGTGACTACAGCCTTGCAGACTGCAGGTACTTGAGACTGTACACAGGCAAAGAAGAAAACAGAACTACCGTATTTGCCGGCGTATAAGACGACTGGGCGTATAAGACGACCCCCTAACATTTCCACTCAAAATACAGAGTTTGTTATATGGTCAGCTGTGTGCGATTTTGCGAGTGTGGTAAAATCGCATAACAGCAAAATCGCATAACAGCAGAGCATACACCCAGCAGCGCTGCTGATGCCTGAACGGTATGTGGAATGAAGTGGGCGGGCATCGGGAGGCCACTATGGCACGGGGCAAGCACTATGGGCAGTCTATCTGAAGTGTACCTGGCGTATAAGACGACCCCCCACTTGGAGGCATATTTTTCAGGGCCAAAAAATCGTCTTATACGCCGGCAAATACGGTACATGGACAACTGCAGGTCTATTTCTGTCAATAACCAGAAATGGTTATAACCTGTCAATAACCCTCGGGCATGTCACTGAGCATGAAAAAGCCTTCTCTCTCACAACAACATTGATTTTCAAGCTTTTTTTGGTTTGTTTTTTCAAAACCCTATTTTCAAATGAAAGTCTTATGCAGACTACTTCCCTCCCAATGGAATATATAGAAAGGATTAAAGTGAGTGGCTACAGTTTCTGGGTGAGGGCCTCAGAGCCCACTTGCAGGGCCTCCTCCTTGTGGCCCGCCCTCAGGCATCTCTGTGGAATCCAGGGTTATTAAATTAGATTATCCCTCAGACTTCTTATACAGGAACATATCTTTAATTATAGTCAAATATAAATTACTGAACAATAATTTCACTTAGCACATCTACTTCCATATTTTTCTCTGCAAAATATATGCCACATGAGTATTTTACAAAGGATCCATGCTTCCCATGATGATAATGGGGGATTTCCTTTTGAACTGGATGGAACCATGAATATAAATTATTTGGGAAACCTAAATTCTTGATGACTGCCAAAGAACTTTCCTAAGTAGTTTAAGTTCTTTATGCTGGGAAAGATCAAACAGAGTTATCAACATATCAGCACTTAAAATAAAAATAATTTGCCTCAAATTAGGTATAATTTAAGCAGAAGTATACACTGAAAACTGTGATTTAAAAAAACAAAAAAACAAACTCATGATCTGAAATAGCAACGATAAGATTTATTTTTACAAGACCTGGTGAATTAAGATTATCATGTCACCACAGATGGGAATTAATAAAAAACAGGGTCAATCTTATGTAATCACAAGTCAGACAACTATTCTCCTCAAAGTTGTCTAATTAGATAAATGTGTTCACTGAAGGGAAGCCTACTTAACTTGATAAATTTAAACACTGAAAGTAGAGTCAGGCAGTAAAGTCAGAAATAACAAAGAAAATATGTAATTTTTAGTTTTGTACACATGGATCTTTAGTGTCTTTTTTTCCAGGGTCTTAAGTGAGCCTGCTGCTCTCGCACTGGGGCTACTCTCCTTCTCCAAAGATGCATCTAGACCGACTTTCTCCACTTCGCCATTCCAAAGAGTCAGGGGTGTTTCCAGCCCTACCACGTTACTCAACCCATTCCAAGCTTACCTCTTACCTACCAAATCCATTTATAGTCTTCATCCCACCAGACACTACCAGCTATTCCAGCTTTCAGGAAATAATCTTCTAAGTCACCCATTATCTCACTTTCTCTTGCCTTTTTTTCCCTCCATCTCTCTGGCCACTTCTCAGTTTCATTTATTATGCTCCTTCCTCTTTTTCTATTTTCATTTTGTTGTTG